TATATATATATATATATATATATATATAATTACATAATATACATAATATAAAATTTACTTTATGTTCGCCACAAACTTGAACAATTGCTTGACACTGATCGCAAGTTCTTTTTAATTCCAGTGGGATATTAAACACTTGATTTCTTGAAATAGACACATCCAATTTTTCTTGAATATCAGATGTAGTATCATTCGAATCTTTTGAATAAATAGATTTTGTACAGTCGTCAGAACTCTAAAATTAATCATTCATTTCAATAATGAATTTCTTTATTATATATTTCAAAATATTTACCTTTATTTCATGACATTCTCCTGTAAAAGATGTTGAGGAAATTTTCTCCACTGTAGTACGATCTACATAAAATCCACAGATGTTACATGAAGTATCCGATTTTTTTTCTGCTAACTGTGATATTACATTGCTGTCATAATCTTCACATAATATACTGGTCTCCCAGGTCATTGGATTTTTCGCAAACGCTTTAAAATGTTGTATTGTAAAGTCTATCACGTTTTCGGGTTTTACTGTGGAGACCAGCAATTGATCAATAATATTAATACATTATCGTTAAATAAAATTTTAACCTGTTTGAGAAGTATTGGCACAATATTTCCCCAGTTGAAAAATTGATTACCAACTAATAGTGTTTGAACGTAATCTGCAATGAGTTGCTTTATTTCTGGATGATCAGCTAAGTACTCCGTTAGTTCAGCAATTTTGGCGAACTATTGATGGAGCAAAATATACATTTCACTTTTATGAATTATTCCACGAGAGAAATACTTAATGTTTTACTTTCTTACTTTCACATCTAAATATTTAGAAAACATTTCAATATCTTCTCTCCAACGATCTTTTAGAGGTGTTTCTGTTTTTATCGTTTTGCTTGGAACATTAGGATCATCTAATGGATTTATTTTCAAGATGTATGGTACATCCAACCAATTATGTCTGAGTATCCTACCTTTCGGTGTTAAATAAGTTCTTATGGTATGAAAAGTTCCATCTTCCTTGCATATTTTACGTTCGATTGTATAAACATCCAAAAAATGTCCATCTAATTCCATACGTTCAGCAGGAATGCATATCTACTAGAGGAAAACTTTTCTATCTTTTGTTACTTTGAATTCATTAATACACATTTGTATTTTCTTACATAATTGGATTCAGCAAGATCTCCATCTATGGAAATATTTTCAAAATATAATGTTCCCTCATAATTTGTAAGCGCCAAATATCGCATAAGTAATATATTTGCTCCTTCACTTATCAGATTACTGTTAGTGGAGAAGTATAAGTCTTTAGTTTCTGTAGACTTATTACAGGGACAAATACGCATTAATTTTATATGGTAACAATCGTCTTCAATACCCATAAAAATTGTTTTTTCATGTAACCCATCTTCGTATATAAATCTGTAATAATATATAGTATTATTTAAGCGAATAACATAGCTTTATTAGAATTAACTAACTCTGTTCTTTTTTCTTCCAGACAGTGTAATTTTGACGTTGCTGAACTGATAAGTTTTGACCCACCGAAATGACCCTCAATAGACATCGAAGATTGTACATGCACTAAAAATTCCCAAGCCTTAGGTCCGATGGATTCTACCACAACACAATAGCTGCCTATTGGTTTCGTGTCCCTCATAGGTTCACTTTTTGAACAAATTATTAAGGTCTCTCGAAAACATAAATCCTTTTGATTTACATCGTCTGAGGTACAAAAAGAAAGAAGGAAACTATTCAAAGAATGGAGCATATTTTTTTCAACAAAAATCTAATATTTAACAATGAAAACAGTATAGCTTATAAGTATAAAAATAGTTACATTCCAATTCATTTCACCAGTGACGAATAAATTTAGTAATTTGTATATTATATATTTTTCTATGCTATATTTTACTACGTTCCGTTTTTTTTTGTGAACGTTTGTTTTATTTATGAAATATCTTTATTCGTTGTTGGAGAAACTTATTTAAAATGATTTATTTTAGTAAGATGTGGGATAGATATTTTGCATTATTTGAAAAATTTCTTAACAAATTCATTAGTCACATATAATTGTTTTGTGTGAAATTATTTAATCGTGAATCCATAATTTATTGTACATACTAACATATACATTAAGGTTTTAGAAAATTATTTTACAATAAAACGTGAGGAAATTACGATTTATACTTTAATATGTACAGTAAGAAGTTTGTCAAATTGTTACAATATATATTTTGTATTTTATACAACAAGGTGCCATTATTGTATAAAATAATTTTGATATGTTCTGTGGTATGTGAGAAAATCTATGAATACAAAATTGCATAATATCACAGTTATACCTAAGTCTTTAGGTCACTATGTAAATATTCTGTCTAAGTTGCAATTTAGAACAATAATATGTAAAATACAATTAATATATAAATTTTTTACGTCGCTCAAGAAGTTGTTATGATTATTTGTTTACAAGCAAAAACGATAATCCGTTTATTGAAAAGAGGGAAAAGAAAACAGATTTACCAATCGAAAATTCAGGAATCCATTTTCGGATATCAAATAACTTACAAGAAATTTCCTCTTTACTTGACATGTTTTTTTTTTATATTTAAATTTCTTCTATTGGTAAGAAGAAAAAAAAAAACACAAAAGAAGCTTATCTTTTGTCTACCATTTTATTTGAAAGTAACTTCTCTATTATGATACAATACATTATAATTCTAGAAGCTATATATTATCACAGCATCACGTTACTTATTAAAAATCTGTAAGATGAAGATTAAACGAAGAGTGTCAAAAAGACTGCTGGATGTCCATATTTGTGAACTACCAAAAACATCGGGCAGCAATTTACCGAAATTACCGCCGAATGCAAGATTTTATACCCGTTGGAAACGAAATTTTCAGAAAATTTTTCTCGTTTCTGTGAATCATCCGTTAACGCGAAATTTTTTACGCAGTTTAGCTGCAATTGCTTTCGAAAAGCGAAGACACGGACGTTCTTCAACATGGTGGGTGATACACCCTTGTAGTAACTTGAGGTAATTCTTTGGAAATTGCAAACGTATGAAAATGAAATAAAATGAAATGCAAACATAATATAGTTGTCGATTTATATTTATGTAGGTATTACTGGGATCTTTTAATGACGTTTACATATCTGTACATGTTCATTGCGATACCATACATTCTGGCATTTCAAAGAGTAGCTAAAAGTTCTGGCCCAGAAAGTTGGGATCCAGTGCATCCTGCATACATTATCTGCATATTCGACATTGTACTTAATTTTATAACAGGTTTCAGATCACGAGATGGTCATGAAATTTTTCTAGATCCTTTTTTAATAATTCGGTAAACTACTGATTATGAGATTCTTTTCAACAAAATTATTATTATTAATAATTTTTGTACAGGCATTACGCGAAGAGATACTTTCTTGTCGATTTCATATCGTCGGTTCCATATGTTTGGTTTTATAAAGATCGTATTTTACCTCCTGGACCCAACTCAAATTCCATTTTATTAATACCCGAATTATTACCCGTCCTAAAGATTTTTCGTATTTATACATTACGCTTTTATATCCGACAAATTATTGCGGTAAGAAATAGTGGTAAATAAATTTGAAAAATATATATCATTCAACTGTTGATACACAAAATACGTTTTAGAATTTCACAATTTCTCACAGTGAAGGAAAAGCCATCTGGTTAATACTTTTGGTGTTGTTAATATTTCATTGGTATAGCTGTGTAACACACATTTTTCCATTTATCGTTGCACATATAACTGGTATTACTAAGGAGGTATATCTAAATTCATCTTGACTTTAAATTTACTTTAGTCAGTGACTTGTTTTAAAAGTACAATTGTTGCAGGACTCTGATATGTATTTGATTACTACCGGATTGTACAAAAGGTCCGATTCAGATATTTATCTGGTCTATTATCATATTGGTATAAGTAATTTCTTTGCATCAAGTTTTATAGAGTTCCACTTCTTGGGTAAATCAGATACAATAATACGTTGTATTTTATTGTTGTTTGGGAAAGGGTGTATAATTTATTTTATGGGTAATCTTCTTTTAATTTCTTTTAATTATTCATTGAAGATAAGTGTTTCATTGATGTTCATGTTATGACAGTCATAGTTCTACAATCAGTTCAGTCGGCTGCAGAACCAGAATTGAAATATCAACGAATTATGCATCAAGTAAAAGAATATATTCACGAAAAGAAACTTCCAGAAAATCTTAAGAAAAAACTTATCGCTTATTATGAATATCGTTTTCAAGGCAGTTACTTCAAAGAAAAAGCGATATCTCGGACTTTATCAAGTTAGTTGGATGTGCTTGTAATATGAAAAGAAGTTTGTATTTCGTTTACTTCTGTAAATTCGTATTTTTACATATAGATCATTTAAACCAAGAAATCATGATTCATAGTAGCCGTGGATTGATAGATACAGCAACAATTTTGCATTCTTTGCCGCGTAACGTTATTGGAAATTTAATGGGTAAAACATTGAACAAAATACATATTGTATCTTTATTTTGAGAAGCTTTTAGTTCTTTTTTTTTACAATTGTATATGTATATATAATTATTACATGAAAATCTTTACAGGAATTTTAAAACCAGTCATTTATCTTGAGGAAGATATTATATATAAAAGTAGGACTGAAGGTGATTGTATGTTCTTTATAATTAGTGGAACCGTTGCTCTTATTACATTCTATGGAAAAGAAGTATGTAAAACCGAGTATCAATATAAATTATGAGAAATCGCATTTCTTTTTTATGAAAAATTATTAATTTTCTTGGAAGATATGCCACGAGAAAGATGGAGGTTATTTTGGTGAAGCAGCTTTAATATTTCCAGATCAAAGAAGATTAGAAAGTGTAATTGCCTTAGAAGTATGTGAATTGCTGCGCTTAAGTCGCCACAATTTCAAACGTATGTTCTCTGTAACGTCAATTTTTTATAAGAGATTAGAAAATATTGCTAAAAAGAGATACCAGCAGATTAACGAATTAAATCTTAGTAGTAAAGATGTTAATTTGGAAACAAGTACACTAATTGAAAAAGAAAACATTGTTAAAAATACTCATCAGGTAGGAGATACTATAGCTTCGGTTAATAATCAAAATGATTATATTGAAAGAGGAACATTGAATGTTAATAAAGAAAATTGAAATATTAAATTAATCGTTTGAATGTTTATGTCACGTTTTATATCATTTTAAAATTCAAAAAAATTTAGATGATGTCACATTATCACGAACTTGCAAATACAAATTATAATTGCTGTACTGTATTCGTGCGTGTGTGTATATCATATATATATATATATATATATATGTTGATCGCATTCGGTTGCATGCGTTCGATTTACCAGCTGTTTTCAGTTTCGCAAGTCGCGAAATTTTGGTATTTACGCAGAAATTACGCAGTGTAATTAATTTAATTGTAATATATAAATATAACTTACAAACAAGTAGATAAATTACTTTTAAAATTTTGTTTTTAATTAATTTAGTCCAAATGATTATGAATAAATAATTACAATTTTCTATTGTAGTTGTCTCATATTCTTGATTTAGTTTGTAACTTAGTATATTTGAAATGATATAATGTCAAACTGGAATCAATATTATTGAAATTGTAATACAATATCACTAAGGTTAAGACTAAGAATTTGGCATGTTATACACGTGACGAAAAACACGTGTGTTATTTTATTTAATTATCATTATTATTGTTATTGGTATTGTTCTATTAAATTCTCGTTTCTCCTTTTATGTAGAGCAATAAACATGGTTGAATTGAAGTGGGAAGAAAAATATGAACTAATCACCAGAAACTTAGCTGAGTGGCTTGGCGATGAGAAACTTAAAAGTATTCTCAAACAACGAGATTTGAAACTCTACTGGGGTACTGCTACAACTGGAAAACCCCACATTGGCTATTTTGCACCAATGTCCAAAATAGCAGATTTTTTAAACTCTGGTGCTGAAGTTACTATATTGTTTGCCGATCTTCATGCATATTTGGATAATATGAAAGCACCATGGGAACTTTTAGAACTTCGTACTCAATATTATGAAACAATTATTAAAGCTATGCTTAAGTCTATAGATGTGCCTTTGGAAAAGTTAAGATTTGTTAAAGGAACAGATTATCAGTTATCTAAGTAAGTAATCATGTATAATTTGCTATTATCACGTAATACATACAATCATTTTTTATTCTAGGGAATACACATTGGATATGTATCGGTTAAGCTCTGTTGTAACTGAGCATGATGCGAAAAAAGCAGGCGCTGAGGTAGTTAAACAGGTTGCAAATCCTTTGCTTTCTGGATTGTTATATCCAGGTTTGCAAGCTTTAGATGAACATTACCTTAAAATTGATGCCCAATTTGGTGGAATAGATCAAAGAAAAATCTTCACTTTCTCAGAAAAATATTTGCCTTTGCTTGGATATGAAAAACATATCCATTTAATGAATTCAATGAGTATGTATACAACATAAAACCATTAAATATGATACAACATTAAAATTACTATATATCATATAAAAATTTTAGTTCCTGGATTAGCAGGATCAAAAATGTCTTCTTCGGAAGAAGATTCAAAAATTGATTTGTTAGATAATGCTGTAGCTGTTAAAAAGAAATTAAAGAAAGCATTTTGTGAACCTGGTAATGTAAATGACAATGGAGTTCTTTCATTTGCTAAACATGTAATATTTCCTTTATTGAAAGGAGAAAGGACCTTTGATATACAAAGGACAACTGAGTTTGGTTTGTATCTTTTTTTATTATTTTTAGTAAATTTACTAATTTTTAGTAAAATTTACTCTAACATAAATTTTATTGTTTTCAGGTGGAGATATATCATTTGAAATATATGAAGATTTAGAGAATGCCTTTGCTAAAGAAGAAATACATCCTGGAGATTTAAAAAATGCAGTTGAAATTTACATTAATAAACTTTTAGATCCAATTAGGAAAGAATTTGAAGCAGATCCAAAATTAAAAAGTTTGGCGAATAAAGCATATCCTCCACAAAAACCAAGTAATATTTTTCATATGAAATGCAGAAATTATAAATTCAAGTAATAACATAATATTTATATTAAATATTTAGAAGTGGTGGAGGAATTAACACCAGCTCGATTGGACATTAGAATCGGAAAAATAGTTGAAGTTTCAAAACATCCTGACGCTGATTCACTTTATATAGAAAAAATTGATATTGGAGAAGCTAGTGGACCTCGAACAATAATCAGTGGACTTGTAAATTATGTACCAATCGAAGAAATGCAAAACAGAATGGTAGTTATCCTTACAAACTTGAAACCAGCAAATTTAAGAGGTGTCCAATCTCATGGAATGGTTTTATGTGCTTCAGTGTATGTTTCAGTTCAGTCAATAAATATTTATTATTACATCAAATAATATCGTAATTAATTAATATAGAGATGAACCAGTGAGGCGAGTTGAACCATTGAGACCTCCAGCAGATAGTAAACCGGGTGAAAAGGTCGTTGTTGATGGATATGAAGATGGATCACCAGATGAAGTACTTAATCCAAAAAAAAAAGTGTGGGAAAAATTACAAGTAAGTTTATTATTTTTTTATGTGCAATAGAATAGAAAAATCATATATTTCGAGGTTAATATTAAACTTAATTTTTTTACAGGTTGATCTTGTAGTAAATGGTAATGGAGAGGCATCTTGGAGTGGAAATCTTTTACTTACTGTCAATGGTGGGAAACTCACAGCTGACAGTCTTAAAAACGTAGCAGTTAAATAATACTTAATACTTCAGATGTCTAGGTATCCATGCATTTTTATTTTCTATTTGTGCAAAAATAGATTGAATTTGTCGATTGAATTGGAAAGTGCTTTATATTTAAAACTGCCGTTTCTACTTCATTTAATTATTTGCATTACTGTTTTATATTTTTGAGATGTAAGTATACAACATAAAAATAGATAAGAAGTGCATCCATACAAAGAATTTAATACATTAGATGCTGCTCATCCTACCTTTGTTCTATTTTTCAATAAAATATAAAAGATATAATTAAATATAAGCATAGACATAATAAGTTAAAAGGAATTAAAGCAGATTGAACTTTAAATTTATTCATATGGTAGTTGATGAAATATTCGGTATAGTATCTCTGTCATTGTAGTTTGTTCGTGAACAAGGAGATCGTGGCTTTAAATTATGGAAATTTTGTATCTTCAATCGTGAAACATTACACGATTTCGACTTTCGATCTTTCTTCTTCAGGATTAACCAAGATGTAACAGGGCATAATGCTAATTCTTTTCTCAATGAACTACTACTACAACCATACAATAAAGGATTTATTGCAGCATTAAGCAATACTAAATATCTACTAATATACCTGTAAAAATTATTCATATATCATATGCTGCATTGATTAATGAAATGATTTTGAAATATTTACCATAATGGATACAAAGTGTCTGCTTGTCCTATCTTAGGCGGTTCTTTTAATAACTCTGCCTTCCGAATTATTAACGCGGTAAATGGTACACGGCATATGATGAATGCTAAAACTATTAATGCTAATACTTGTGCTACTTTTCCTTTATATTTTACCACAATAGGATATTTACTTCTCAAAGCTTGTGCTTCGTAACGATCTAACTAGAAATTAAAAATAAAATACAAAATTATATTTTTATATTACATGTAAAAGAGATTAAATACTTCATTATTTAAATACTTTTATAAGAATAGCCGAATAACATATTGCCATGATACCCAATGGTGCCCAAACGGTTAAACCGGCGAAAATGTGCCAATAAGGATAGATAAGCACAGTGTCTTCAGTACAATATGTTTCTAAATAATTTTTCCATTGCCTTTCGTAGTAATGTCGAAAATAAATTAAAGGAATAGCGACAGATATTCCACAAATCCAAGTAGAAAAAAGTAAAATGTGCATTATTCTAACAAAAAACGTAAGAATTAAAAATTTATATTATTCTTCATATAAGTATTTGATACTATTAATAACTTCGTCTTATCACCTTCTCGATAATTTTCCCGAGCAATTCAGGACAATAGCTGAAACACGATCGTAACTGATTGCACTCAAGTTAAAAACCGCAATTAATGTCAAAGCATGCACTAATGCTCCATCCGTTCGACAGCCAATCTCGCCCAAAATGTAGTTTTGAAACAGATCAACACAAAGAAACATCCATGGACATATCAAACATGTACCAAAATCTGCGATACACATATTTACAATCAAAAGATTTGTCGTAGTGTGTAATGATTTTTCTTTCAATATCACATAGATTAATCCACCATTAGCTAAGGATCCAACAGTGATAATTGGTAAAACACTGATAATTTTTATAATCACTTCCCATGTAGGTCGTATTTCCCAAATTTCTGAAGGAAACATATGCTTACTAGTGTCGACATTTTCCCACTAAGAATTTATATATTTATTAGTTACGTCGATAGTGAATACAACAGGATGATTTTTTAAATGGAAAATCATACTTCCGAATTTGTAGCTGCAAGCTCGTAGATATTCTTCATATGATAACTCCACTGTATGTTTAGTATATAGGTTTTGTTTATCAAATTTGAGAAATCCATGTCATTTAGTGTATTATGGTATAAGAACGATGAATTCTAATAAGATACTGAGGGCTTAATGATAATTGCAAGGATTAATCTAAATGCAACAGATGGTATACATTAACATTAAGAGCAAGCTTGTTTATTTAGCTCTTTAGTAAGATTTAAAATATGATATAGCAGTTCAAAGTAATTGCTGATAAATTTTAGGGATACCAAGTTTAAAGAATGATTTTTATGAAAGATAATGGTGATTTATCATTTGACTCGTTTAAATTTATAATTGTATTTTATTTGGTTGCGAAGGTGTACATAGCTGTACACGCGAATTCCATACAAATATTTGTATAATGATGTGCGACAGATTTTTTATATAATATAAATTAGTTGATTTTTTGCTTATTTATAAGCATATAAATTTGGCACACTTAAAAATATTTTTCACAATATTTTATGCAACTGTATTCTTCATTATATTATATTATTCTTATTAGACTTTTTATACAGTTTGTACTTCATAGATTATTTTCTAGTCAGTCATATCTAGAATTTTCTAGATAAACATCACGATTCTGCTTAATTTTTTTATACGAAAAATATATAAAAGTTATATTTATAAGTTAATACGATTTAATTATGCAACTAATTTTATTTCAATTTTGATGATAATGAATGTTAACTTTTTAAAAGAATAAAAGTAGTTGAAATTATCAATCCTTTACACATAACAATTTTTTACGAATACATTTATATTTTTTGTTATAAATTTTAACACCATTGGAACTTAAATTAATTCTAAAATTAATCTTTGATCTTCTCTTCCCCTTTCTTTCTTATTCATTAAATTTTTATTTCTTTATAGTTAAAATAAAATAATATTTTTTAACTTTTTTTATTCTACGTTTTTTTATAGCAAATATTTAGGAAAATAAAAATTAAGAAAGGTTTGAAGTGTCAAACATAACGTAGTTATAACTAAGAACAGAACTGAATTGTTAAAATAGATCATAAATTAAATAATAGATTTGTTTTACTTTAATTAAATAATAGATTTGTTTTACTTTAATTAAACAGGCATTAATAACTATAGTCTCGTACAATTCGTTATTCGTATTTAACATGTTCTATCCACACAATACCATTGAGGATATACAAATTCAGTATGTTATTTACAAACGAGTACTATCATGTCTAGTCACAGCAGCAATTCATATTAGAATGTCATTCGTTCATAAAAATTAAAATTTTACAATATTCAATGCACGAATACAAATCTTGCTGATGGTTTTTGAACACTACGTAAAATAAGGATTTATCTGTCACCTTTTTTCACTATATTGAACAATATTCAACTACAATTTGTAACAAACATTTGACTAGTTCTCATAGTCTCATTCTGTATCATCAGCTTCTGACGATTGTGCAACGGGCAACGGTGACGGGATAACTAGTTCATCATCCTCAACTTCTTCTTCTGCAAGCAAAAAATCTTCTCCTTCGTGAATTTCTTCTTCCCGTGCCGGTTCCGGTGGAGCTAGCACATCTTGACCATGTTGTTTTAAATGATCCTTCAACGCAAATGCTCTACCGTAGGATGCACCACAAATATAACAACTGAATTTTAAATTATTGTCTTTCTTGTGAGTTTGTATATGAGCACGCGCAGCATACAAGGAAGCAAATGGACGGGAACACTCGGTACATCGAAATGGTTTAGTGTGACTGTTTTTGTGTCCTGCTAATTGAACACGCGTTTTAAACGTTTTTGGACAATAAGGACACGTATAAGCACGTTCTTCTCCGTGTGTAAGTAAATGATGATTGTACACAGAAGAAGCTTTAAATCTTTTGCCACAATGTTGGCATCCGTATGGTCTGACACCAGTATGAGTCCTCATATGTAAAGTCAGACAATAGGAAACACGAAAAGTTTTACCGCAAACCTAAGAAATACAAATGTATTTGTATAACAGAAATCACACGATCGTAATTACATTATTTTTACTTACTTCACACGCGTGTGGTTTTTCTCCAGTATGAATACGTTCATGTTTCACTTTTTCATGAGGTCTCGTAAATCTTCGACCACAATGTTGACACTGATAAGGCTTTTGATTTTCTGCGGGTTCAGCAGTTGCAGCTGTTTCAGTAGTAACAGTAGTAGGTGGTGTTGGTGAATGTGGTTGACTTAATTCTGTATGTACTGCGGCATGCATTGCCAAACTATCAGCAGAGTCAAATTTTCTATTACACACAGTGCAAGTTACAGAGTCACCAGAATGCAATGCCATGTGCGCTTCTTTGTACGATTCTGCTAACGTTTTACCTGTAAATAATTGACATTCAATTAAGTACGAATGTATCAAGAAAGATTAAGTACGAATTAATTATATTTTTAATCTTATATTCAAAATATTACCACACTCGGGACATGTGAATGTTGCACTAGGTGTTCCTTCAGGTGCATCAACGTGCCTTGCTCTAACTGGCGCGTGCATTCGAGAATGTAAGCGCAAGCTTTTGTGCGAACAAAATTCTGTACCACAAGTTTCGCATATGAAAGTTTTTTGATTTGGATCAGGTTCACCTTCATGTACTTTTGCATGTAATTGTAATGCTTTCGGTGTTGCAAAAGTTTGGTCACAACTATCGCAACGATTATTGCCATGAAGACATGCATGTACTCGAAAGTTTCCTAGTTTGGAAAATTGCTGAAGGCACTGATTACATCTGTACATTCTCATTGGTGTCGTAGCTAATCTTTTTTCTCGTACCTGTAATCAACATACATTGAAAAAAACATCAAGATTTATTATAGTATAAAAAGAAATAGTTGCTCGACATACTTTCACTCCTTCCACATTAGAAAAGAACTTTTCAATCATTGGTGCTTTAGTGGATTGAAGTGATGTTTGTGCTGGAGTTTTATCCCAGAATCTTTCTATTTGTACTACTTTTCTTGTGTACAATCTTCCTTCACTGTCTACACATTCTTCTGTACGCAAAGTGTTCATACTCTGTCTTTGTCTAGTATTAGCTACGTTTCCTGATTCTGAATGTAAGGTATTAGTTGCAGGTACTGTAGGTATATCATCTAACTGATCAGCTATTTCAAGTAGTACTTCTTGCCCGTCATGAAATTGCTTTATATGTTCCACAAGAGAATTAAAGCTCATGTCACAACTAGTACAACTATAAACTGCTTCTGATTCTATCTATAAAAATGAATTATTCTCTTCAATAATACAATTTATTCATTCAAATATATATCGGTAAATCTTCATTGTTTATACCTCACAAAATTCTTGTTTAACATGTAGAAGTCCATCTTCATCTAATTCACCTACATCATTTATATGATCTATATTTATAAGAGCACCAGTGCTACTATCTAGAAGCTCTGAGCCATCAGGTAATATAGTAATTACATTTTTATCTCTGTTTTTGTCATCTGTTTCTGAAGTGGTTGAAATCGTTACTAATTGATCCTGGGTTAAAGATTTCTCTTCTGTTTTAATATTAGGAACTTTGTCTGCCATCTTAAATTCCAAAGAATTTTGCTCCATCTGTTCTGTCTCCTCAGTTTCCATCTTTTCTACGACTTTAATATCTCCTGATATTTTCATTAGAAACAATAATCAAATGAACGGAATTAACATAGATTAAATTAGAATTTCTACACACCATTTTCATCAACTTGTATAGTTTGAGGTCCCCCAACTATCATAATTCCACTGTCATTCACAGTCGCTAAAAAACTTTGATCTATTCCATCAACGTTTGTATCCTGAAATTGAAATTACCAAGCAAAGAAGAAAAATAAATTAAATTAAAGAAAACTTTCAGTTGATCCCAACCATTAGTACTTCTGCATCTGGTTGAGATTCTTGCTGAGATTCTTGCTCTTGTTCACGATTTGATTCAGACAGTGTCTCTGACTCAGCGCAACCACAGCGATCCAAATGTTGAATGAGTGCCATTACTGAGTCAGATCGTTGCGAGCAACCAGGACAGTATAGATTATCCGTCATGCTTAGTAAGTGATACTTTAATGACTGTGGATTGTTAAATGTTTCACCGCAACACATTGGGCAAATAAGATTCAACGAGCCCATTATTTTCTTTGCCTTACTGCTGATCTCGTAGAAGGTCTTTCTTGATCTTAACCTGACCCTCTATTCTTTTTACTAACTTAATCGAATCTTTTTATCGCTCGCTTATCCTATCTTCAATTCAAAAATGAAGCCGGTCCCCCGTTAAGAACCTAACCTGACGATGAATTACAAAAATCAGTAAAATCTCTCGAGCGCATCAAGATACAAGACAGTGTCATGATGTTTCTTCCAGAAACTTGATTTTCCACAGAATGTTTACGTCAATTACGGTCAATTATGTTACATAAAAATAAACAGCATCTCTTTCTTGTAATAACAGCGATAACAAAACTCATTAGAGACGAACTTCAGCGCAAACAAATGCCGCACACAACAATCATGAAGTTAGGGATGTGATAAGTGAATCACGAAGTCGGCCATTACACGAAAGTTTCGGTATAGAACTATCGAAGTCAAATTCAAGCTTTATCGCATATAGCACGATGATTGTCTCGTTGGAACGTTGAATTATTGTCGGAATTTCGTTGTGCCTCCTCTTTTGAAGATATCGGATCGTTTGCAGTATGGCATGCAAATTGAAACAATTGACAGTAGTTGAAAGTAAATTAGATGTTCAATTGACAAAAAGCGCGCGGTATATTCGGGTTCCGTTTGAACGAACTTTGCAACTGCGAAACTTCCTGTGACTCGTTTTATAACCTGTGTTATCGTTAAAAAATAAATTGCTAGTACTTTTTAAAGATTTATATAGTTGATTTTATAAATAATGAAAAAAAGGTAAAAGACAATAATAAACCGATATATATTTATTAAATAACGTACATTTATTTATTTATTGAAATATATTTACATTTTCTTAACATAGATTATCGCGCGAATGAATGACATCGTGTGTTTGTATCTTATGTCGTGATTTCTTGTGTAGAATATAAAACAGTTTTATATTCTACATCTACTCTAATCGGCATGTTCATGTTGAGCATTACTTTCACGCCATGTATTTTGAATTAATTCTACAAATTGTTGCCACCACCTGCTTTGCGAGGTAAAGTATAAAGCACATGCAGTGATGAAGATCCATGACAAGACTAGACAATAATCTGTTTCATTGTAAGGTGTGCTAGAAACAGGGCCAGCAAAATCCAGTGATGTAACATATAATGATCCATTTGGTTGTAAATTAGTTATTTGCGTTATAAATTTTGCGAAAGCTTCAAGTGTGTAAACAGTGTAATTGAATTTTGCCACAGGTTTCCCATTGTGAACGAGCATTAATGTCGGGACTCCAACAACTCCATATTGAGCATTAAAACTGAAAACATGAAAAATATGAAATATCAATGAAACTTGTTCGACAATATAAACAAGCTATTTTATTTTAGAATGTCAATTACTTTTGGTATTTAATAGCATCTAATGCCACTGCCTTAATATGTGGAAAGGAACGTGGGAGTGCATTAAAATGTGGTGCAGCTTGACTACTGAATATACTCCATCTGGCATAAAATAATATTATTATGCAAGTTCCTGGTAAAAGTCTAACTTCTTTGTCGTTTCTACTTTTGTTCAACGGTCCAGGTTCTAGGATTAATAATTTCATTAACCTGGTTGCATTAACAATCTGAAAAATATTAATACTTGTCATTCGTTCTTTTACATTTACCATCTTCAAAGATTTTATTGTGTTTACTTCTACTGGTCCATAGATTTTATCCGTTAAGCAATTAACTTTGGTTACATTAACAGTTGAATTGGTTAATGTTACGTTCGCTTCGATAATTTTGCTCTCTTCCACGTCCTGGGAATCGGGTTCAGGCTCTTGATCGGAATTTTTAAACGAAATTACTTCTATCATCTCACATTTGTCCATTCGCGACAAAACACCTATTACATGAACTAGAGAAACAATAGCTATTGGTATTATATTTTAGTCAGAAATGTATAACAAAATGCATTGATATCTCACCTAAAATTATAATAAATAAACACAAATTTCTTCTGGAAAAAAACATTTTATATACATAACCTAGAAAACTGTTCGTTTACTTTTCTTAAGAATTTGTTGGTGATTCAGTTCACAAGTGGATGTTATCCTATAAACGCATGGTACTCAACGAATATTCATAATTGGAGCATGATTTGCACTATCACGTACGTAACAAGCAAGTCGATGCATCGTATTTAGGTATATGCATACTTCATTATGAAATAGACGAGACTATGATAGACTGAGGTGTCGCATCGATCGCGTATCCTTTGGTTTCAATTCATTTATACATAATTCGTTCGGTTAATTATTTCGTTATATATTCGGTTAATTATATTTCGTTATATATTCGGTTAATTATTTCGTTATATATCATTTGAAGTGAAATATATTTCGTTATATATTCGGTTAATTATTTCGTTATATATCATTTGAAGTGAAATATGAAAAAGGGATAAAGGAATTGTTTCCATGTTTTTATATTTTGACATGAACTTGATATTTACAGTCGGGATACAACTTTACGCAATATCAAATCGCAAATTGGGGAATAAGCTTGAATAACATTCCAATTATTATCATTATTATTATTTATTACT